AATGGGATTTCTTTGGTTTTGACCCACAGCCATATTAACAGACAGGGGTCGATTAACAAACAGAGGTTTTGACCAACAACCAAAATGGGATCAACCAAAACGGTTTTGACCACCACGGATCCAAATTTGGCTCAGCCAGGCGTCCGCGAGGCCCAGCCCATTTGGGACGGCCAGCTCTTCGCGCAACTCCTCCGCCAGGTCCCGCAGCGAGGAGATGCCTCCAGCTGGCTGGTCGTTTCGGGTGTCCATCTTCGGGTGCATTTCTTTGGGCTTCCATTGGCTGAAATGAATATATGGTTTTATTTTGCCCTGTTGGTCTTACAAGGAATCGATCACTACGGTGTTCCAGGGGGCATAAGCAAATGGAAGTGGGTGAATTATCATATTGCACCAACCTCTTTTCCCAATGTGCGGTTCCTGCTCGGCCTTGTGCGGAACAGGCCCTTGACTGCGCCCTTATGGGCTGAAGAACCGACGCAACCCCGATGGCTGCACACAAACCGCCCCTGAACACACCTGAAATAAGGTGGTTGGGGGGCTATTCCCCACATAAACCACCATTTGGGGTGAGGTCGTGTGAGGTCGTTATAATTCACCCATATTTTCCCATCGAAAGAACTTTCGGCCAGAGTCATCATCAACCCCCCCCCCCCCCGGCTTTTGCGTTTTGCTTCTTTTGAAGGGAGCGAACTGGAAACCCATGGAACAGGGACCCCCGGCTTTGTCGCTTGGCTTCTTTAAAGGAAGCCACCAGGAAAAACGTCGAAGAGCAGAGTCCTCAAACCCCGGTATTGAAATGGTCGATCCCCAGCGCCAGGCCGGACATCCGCCGTGGGGATTGTCCCCTTAAGCTTCGACTACCTGGGGTTTTGATGGCTCAGCGGGGTCCATTCGTCTTTCTTGAAATTACTCTTGGGGAGTGTGTCCCTTCAAAAATCACCATCTTCAGGGATTTTGTTTGGAGGATGTCGCTTTAACGAACCTAGAGCAATGATTGATGGAAGCTGGGCGGGGGTTGGACGACTACTTGTCTTTTGCGAGGCTACTTTCACAGGCTTCCCAAAATACATTCTAATTTCATCTGAGTCACAAAGAGATCCTATGAGACAGCCTGCAACACGTTGTTCAATGTAGCCAATCTGTCAGTATACTGTTGCAGCAACTCTGACTTACACCAGGTTGAAAGTAGATGAGTCACAATTAGAACCCGGTATTAAAATGGTCGACCCAGAACCATGTAAAGAATTAAGAAGGCGGCCGCAGCTATTTATGGTTAGGACTGTCCCTTATAAGCTTCATGTACCCGGGCTTTGAGCACGTGGCTCAGATGGCGCGAGCCCTGTAGGCTGGGAGTAAGAGTCCTCTTGCGCCAAAGGCACGCCAGTGGTGAAAGCCAATTTTGACAACCCTAAAGCACAACGAAACGAAAACCATTGGCGGAGATGTAGGTAGGTTTGAAGCCGACTTGGGTGGGTTTGAGGTTGCTTACGGCTGGCTTGTGTCAGATTCGGGCTCGACTGCTTTGCTTGTAACGTCGGAAGCCAACACCGAGCTGGAAAAATTGGTCAACCGCCTGGTCCAAGCCTTGGGAAGACCGAGCCTTTCAAAGGGTAGGATGTAGCCCTCAGGTCTTACCCCTGGTATTTACTCGGGTCTTAGCCTACGTCCTCCAGTAGAGAGGTTAGAATAAGGGTACCAACTTGTTTCTGTCTTTTTTTAGTAGGGGAACCCTCCCCCCAAAACAGGGTAGAAGGGCACCTAGGGGGACCTAGCCTTGGTACTTGATGGCTTGCGGGTTTGAACCTCACCCCAGAGCAAGAGGGTTTCACACGTCCACCCAAAACAGGGAAGCGGGTGTCCCACACGAAGCGTGCTGCTTACACTGGTCTTGGTCAGGGCAATGAACGGCAAAGGAACTCCGAACAAAAAGGAATTCCAAACAACAAAAAAACACACCCTTACACCCCCGCACGCGAAAAACAATACAATTAATCAAAACACAGAAGAACACGGGCATGTCCTAAAACAGGACCGCTGAAATGGTGAGCTACCTTTTGTTGATGTTTAACAAACCAAGCGTTCTTGGGGGTTCATCAAACAACAAAAACACATACAAGATCCTTGGAAAACAAAGTGGGTATGTGGAAAACATGGTTGGTGGTTTTCCTGTTGGTTTCGCTTTCCAGCCCCAAAAAAGGGTGCCCTCAGTGCCCTCTAAGAAAAAGGGCACAACGGACCAGGCCCGATCGACCCCCTTAGGGAAGCCAACAGGATATTTGTTTACAACTGCGTCTCACACTACCACGGCGTGTTTTAAATAAGCTTGGTTTTGAAGAATGGCTGCGGCTTCATTTCGGTCTCACAACCAACCAACAGAGGGTTCCCCCAACAAAGATACACCCGCATGGGTGGCTCGTCTTTTTTAGGGTATCGCGCATTTTGTTCGGCTTTCCCCTTGGTTTCCCTTTAAAACTACCCCCAACATTGATTGGTGTTTTTGAGGGCAACAATAGCGATTTCCGATTCTTCCTTTGGCGTCCCTTTAAAACCCAACCCCCAACAACCCAGCAAGTTGTGTTTGTGGAAGCCCCCCCCCCAAAAAAAAGAAAGAAAACTCATAAACAAAGGCGACGCCCGGTTTTTGTTGGTGTCCCTTTAAACCCAAGCCCCCCCCCCCCGGTTTTTGTTGGTCTCCTTTAAACCCAAGCCCCCCCCCCCTCCCAAACAACACGTGTAAAAAAACGCGGGGGGGACCACCGAGCCGCAAAAGGCCCGGAAGAGCCGGCCCCGCGCCGCAACCTCGCTCTCCCCGGAAGGCGCGGCAGTGGCGCGGGAACGGTTCAGCTCAAGGAGGTCCTACGTGGATCTCAGGGCAAGCTGAAAGGCGGGGGGTCTCTGCACACATCGAGGAGGTTTGTTTTGGCAGCTTTCAGAAATTCAGGGAGGGATTCACAAGGAAGGGTTCCAGGGGTTAAGGGGCTGGGGATACCAGTTGGGCCTATCTGCTTTGGGAAACGGCTTTCGGAGGTGGATCCATTTCAGCCAACCTTTATTTTGATTCCAAGGGAAATCGTTTGGGGAAGCTGGTCCGGGTGTCTCATGTGACCCTTGACATTGAAGGGCTTCAAAACGGTGGCTTCAGCTTTCTCTCCTCCCCCATTTTGGGAGTTTAAGCCTTTCCTCACGCGTGGACATGGGGAATTGATATTTGGTGTTTTGCACAATGCGGCCTCGGGGTGGCTGCTTTGCTCTTGAGTTCCCTTGAAACCTACCCGACTTGGGGCTCTCACTTTGGGACAAACCCAAATCAAATACTTGCAGAAGGGTCGGGATGCTGATTGCCCGATGTTGCTTGGTGTCCCCTTTCGGCTTCCTTTCAGCTTTCCTTTTCTGAAGACAACCATTGCGGGTAAGATTCGCACCGCCGTGTCACCGCCTCAAGGCGAAACCATCCTGTGCCAAGTTGTGTTACAAAGAGTTCCAGCAGGCAAACCACTGTGGTAGATCCAGCAGGGCCGCAAATTCAAACCTCCGCCAAAGTGTTTATCGTCCAAAACCACCAACATGGCAAATTGCTCCAGGTACCTTTCGAAGCGTCCTATGCTGGTGCGAAAGGTATCAACCGTATCACAGCAGAATCATCCCAGGAAGCCTTTCAGGAATGGTTCTGCCAGCATCAGTGAGCAGTGAATGAGTGCATTAATTATGTTGGTCTACGACATAATCTCATTCCTCTTGCGGTTGCCTTTTGCAAACAATCCCACGGGCTCAGTATATTTGTATCCAGTGGGGAAGACCCACGGACTCTGTGCAAATACCAATTGTGATTGGCAGAGCGTTGGGTTGGAGAAATCAAAGATGTGATCAAATGGGATGCGACTTCGGCGAAATGAGTGCCATCAAACATACAAGCCAGCCAGCCCTGTCCTTCACGAGGACCAGAACGCACTCCACCATGAGCCATCACCATTGCGGCATCTGTAAAAAATATTCAAAATGCTAGAAGTCAGTTAGCGGTTCCTTCTGCAGTTTGCTAGCAAACAAATTGTATGGACTGCCAGGCCTGCTTACAAATCTACAATTCACGGCTATGTTGAAGGGTGACCAATTCATGATGCTCATTTATGCAACTCAAGTCGAACTTATCCCTCTAGCACAGCCTATCTATTTATTTTCCACCCAAAAGTTGGTCTCTTATTTTGGCACATTGACATCAACAAGTCAGCAACCGTTCATCTGCAGATTGAAGCCGAAAAGAAGCGCATGCCAATCGTCGTGTTAAAGAAGTCGAATCGTGCACTTGCAACCAATGGGCCTGCGATTGAACTGGGCTGTTCCAAGATCCCACTGCCAAAAGTCTAACTTTTAGTTGTTTAATGGAAACTACCACAGGGATTCTTACATTATACACCTGAGCATTGCCTTGTAAATGGTGGTTTCCCTTTATTTTGGTGGAAAAAGCCATGATTCAAATGGGCAAAAGGTATCTTTTAAGGAGCCCTGTGCCAATCAACGCTAAAGACCTAAGAACACCTAAGGGGATGGCACCACCAAGAACGGGAGAGTCAAAATTGGGGAAGCTCCAAAAAAAGCTACTGTAGTGGCCCAGGCTCACTTTTTGGCCCCTTGGCAAACTGAAGACCCCGTACCTCCCGGGCTCCTAGCCTCCCGGCCTCTGTTAGGGTCTCGGCCAGCCCCTCCATGAGGTATGTGGATGGGTGTTTTTTCTGCGGACCCCCGAAATGGGTAGCTTGCCTTTTGGCTTTCCGTTAAAGCTACCAAAAAAAAGACGGGTAGCCCCCAAAAAAAAAACAAGACACGCCCACATCTCTCTGTGCCACGGAGAAAATATTGACTCCCTTTGGCACTGGACTAGAGACCCCATGAAGCGAGGTACCACAACGACTCTGACACCCTTTGTCACTTGACGAAGAACAAATGGATATACATCCACTCGCCCGCATATCCGCCAACACATCGACCGCATTCAAGATTCAGGCTGAAGCGCCGCCGCTCCCCGCTCCAATGCCGCCTCCGCTCGCGCTAGGACGCCTTTGCTCAGCTAAGGAGCATCCTCTCAGCATAGGTTGCTGATTGCGTCCGCTTTCACAACATGTTGGAAGTGAACAAGGGCTGCAACTTCAGTAAAGGCTTCTGGTCGACGAAGACCAATGCTGGGGTAGCAATATCTCGCCCATCTTGTATTGTAACGTCTGTAAGACATGTAAAGAGGACACCACAGTCATTCAGCAGTAAACCAAGGTGCGTTCCAATTGGCCTCCTTTCGGCTCCCGGTCAAACCATCCAAAAGGTTCTCCCTCTGGAGATGACATTTGCAAGAATTTGCGGTCAACGCTTGTGCCTATGATCCAAGGGGCAAACCACAAGTGCTCCGTGCCTGGACAACACCAAGGTGTCTTCAATGCATTGTAACACATTAGTACATTCTCCGAGAACATCTGTGTGCTTGAAGAGTCTCCTCCATTTGCTCCCTCTCCCAGGTTCTTATGCACTCACACGCACACCAATATATACCCACAAACACACAACGGGGAAAAAAGAAGAAGAAACAGAAACAAACAAACACGCAAACAAGCAAGCTATCAAACAAACAAAAACAAGATAAAGAACAACGGAAAAAAAAAGAAATAGCTAGGCATAGAAAAAAACAAACACCAACACATAACAAAAACACACAAGCAAGCAAGCAAGCAAGCAAGCAAACAAACAAACAAACAAGCAAGCATGCAAGCAAACAAACAAACAAACAAAAAAGACAAAGAAACAACGACACATAGCAAACAATCAAACAAATAAGTGAATAAATAAATACAAAATAAAGAAACAAGCAAACAATCTAGTCAGCGAGAGTCTCCATTTTTAGACTTGCCTACAGGTGCAAGTTCAGATTGGTAGGCTGGATACCGCCCAGTTGGGATTACTAAGTACATGCTGTGTCTTTCGCTTGGTTGGTTGGTTGGTTGGTTTGTTTGCTTGTTCTCTTTGTTTGCTTGTTTCTTTGTTTTGTTGTGTTGTCTTGCTTGCTTCTTTGCGTGTTTGCTTGTTTGTTTGGCTGGTTGGTTGCTTGGTTGGCATTTGCTTGCCTGGTTGGTTGATTTCGATGTGTTCATTTTGGTGTGTTAGGTGCTTGCTTGTGTGGTTGCATGCTTGCTGGCTGTGTTTGCAGTTATGTTTCTGCGTTGTTGTTTGCTTCTTGAGTGTTTGTTTACTTGTGGATGGGATACCTTGTTTGATTGTTTGCTTGATTGCTTCGTTTTGTCGTGTTTGCTTTTGTTAGTTTGTGAAACTACTTGTGATTCATTCTTCGTGCTGGCTTTCCTAAATCCCCCAAAAGGGGTACCGGCAAAGCAAAAGAAACTCGTGACTCTTCTATTCAAAGCAAATGCCTGCGGTTTTTGCGCTTTCGCCTCGTACCGAGGGCCCGCTGCGGGGCGATTGATGCCCACAAACTGGTTTCCATCTGTCCTGCGCAGCTGCGCAGATTGAAAAATGGAATTCACTTTCCGTGTCACCTATCAAAAGTGCCAGGTGAAATTCTGCTTGCCTTGGGGAATGGTGGTTCCATTTACTAATTACCTTGCCACCGTGGCTCAGCCAGCGTCTTGGGATGAGAGCTCACACTGCGCCCTATTACCAACGCTTGACAACAAAACGTGGACTGCCACTAGTACTCCGCACCCTCCCTCCCTCAAACATAGCACATATGGGAGGGTACCTGGAAGATCAGTTGCTGCAAGGGACCACATGACAGGTGCCATGGCAACTTGGGGATGAGGGTAGTTGCGCGCGGCTTCCTTCGCAACCAGAGGTCCCCTCTCATTTTTCCATGGGGGCCTTTGGGGCAGCCTCCAACCAGTTGGAACATTTCAGGCATGAAAACCCTCACGTTGGGTATGCTACCCTCCACCGCACAGTTAAATCAAGCGCTGCCCACTTGCCAACACTGAGCTATCTGTCAAAGCCCCTGGCCTCTATCCAGTGTCACCTATGTGCAGTCTAGCATCCAATCAACTCACATAAAAAATGCAATAGTGGCCGCTGCTAAGCACTCATTGAACAAGTCACACACCACAAAGGCTTCTCATGTTGCATGTCTGACAGGCGCCGCGCACATCCGACAACACCTCTGTTGGTCAAAAGGCTATGGAACAAAAAGGTACCTTTTTGTGGGTAGTTCATGTCAAAGGAAACCCCCCCTCCTAAAAAAGAGGCAACAAGGGCACCACGGTGTGTCTGGGAAAAATGCAATCACACATGGCGCGTGTGTCTTCAGTCACTCCGGACCATGTCCTCTGATACAAGTCCTCAATGCGATCCGGTGGAACCTTGGCTCTCGCAGCTCTCACCAAACAAATCCGCCAAGTACCTGCGCACATGTCTAAACACGCATATGCATATCATGTGTGCACATGAATATATCTATACACGTATGTAAACACATTGCTGAATAACAATCATCATGCACCTTGCTTTTTATTGCACCTGGGTCATTGTTTCTAGTTTCTGTCCGATTCCTTGGTGCCAGGGGGTGGCGCCGACTGTGTTGTCCTGACAACTAGGGACGTTTCATTGACCCGGCAGCGCGCACGTTCGCCTTGAGGGTTGTCAAGCATGTACTCATTTCTTGGATCCCAAAGGTGCCACCCGCATCAAGCTATGGCCATCAGTGCGATAGGAGCACCACCGCCTGCAAGTCACGTGAAGGATTCGTGAAACAGCAGGCATCCATATTTGTTCCGGATCGCTCAGGTCCCACTCCCATTCACTCTTGTTTGCTCCCCTCTCTCTCTCTCTCTCTCTCTCTCTCTCCCACTCTCTGCGTCCCAACATCCTGGCCCTTGGCGAAGCACACAGCTCGTACCCCAGAACCATTTAAGTCGCTACAGTACATTTGTCATTGGGCCATGCCATCCTCATGACCCGTCTGGATCCTTATTTGGGGAGGGGGGGGTCGGGTTCAGGTTCGGGTGGGGTACCCAATGAGAAATTGGCAACAACGGGTCGCAAACACCAGCATGCAATATGATCCCTATTATGCGAAAGCAGCCATGCGCACAAGCCGCTTTTTGCCTAGGCCAAACCCCGGTAACTGGGAAGTGTTGTTTGTGACCGCGCGACAAAGCACAGACACTGCATACCATCCAATTTGTGACACGTCTATATTATACATACATATACATGTGCATATCGATCCAAACAACATTGCTCATTATCTTTCCAAAGCAACACCTTTCAATGACTTGTCATGTCCGCAGTCATCATGTTGGCAGTCTCCCTCCAATCATAGCAAATCGAAGAAGGGGCTCAAAACAGGCTGCCATCACAACAAGGCGTGCCCCCCCCCCAGGCACAAGTCTTCTCACGGACCAGCTAGCTTTGACCATCGGCTCGCTGCTTCCGTTTGTCAGGGGGAACCCGTGACAAAAGCTCTACATTTGGGCACCGCAAAGCACATCTTCGCAAAACATGCTGAAAATGGCTTTCCTCAGATCCCCACAAAAAGTTTAACATTTAGCGGGTTAAATGGAAATCCAACCACTTCACCAACCAAACACCCAAAAACCTAAGGATGTGGACGGCTGGGAACCACCGAGTCAACAGGTCGTTGGCCGTCCAAACTAACATCCGGCCCAAGTCCAAGGCACCTACCCAAGGCTTGCCAGGCGCCATGGCACTACACGATCGTTGGAAAGGTGCTCTGAGACCACGTCATCTCTTCAAATCGCTTCCCTTTCACATGGGTTAGTAAGGGAAAGGCCCTGAATGACCGGTGTTTACCACGATTCCAGAGTTATACCTGGTGTCCTTCTCAGCTTGTTCAGCCAACGGCTTCGAGGGTGGATGGACGTCTTGGCCGCCAACAGAAAATCGCGCAAACGGGTCATTCCCAGGCAAGTTCAGGGGGTTTTGTTGATTTGGTTGGCGCATCGCAGCACCGGTTGGTCGGGCTGTTTCTGCCTCGTGCGTGAAATCCAAATTAGTCACGGCGTCCCCTGAGATGCACATGTAATCACGGGCTGAATTGGCGGGTTTGGTCAACTAGGTGTGGCAGCAATGAAGACATCCAAAGCGACCTAAACTTCACAGGTTCCATGTGGCTATCACCGGGTGACTGGAGCAGGGAAGGTGCATGCGCTATGCGCATAGCGCAGCATGAGTTGCTTGTGGTCGGGTCCTTCTAGCCACAAGCAGGGATGCAAACAAGAAGCGATACATGCAACAAGCGTGGTGCATTGCAGTCGAAAAAGGGACAGCGGGCGAGGATGCAAACAATGCAAAGTCATTTGATGCAAACGTCGCATCCAAGGGATCCTTGTAGACCTTCGGCCTTAGCAGTAACAGTTAACATGTATCCTACTTCTATTTCGGTGAGCAAACCCTAGTTGCCTCTTTCGCGCTCCACGGATCCACACTTAAGGCTGGACCCCAACCTCACAGCTCTCTTCACATGTCCGCACCTGCACGGACATCCTGCATCAATCCGGGAGACCGCCGGATTGATTCTTTATTCTCTGGTTCTTGCGCTGGTTTCTGGTTTCCATCTCCGCTTTCGTTGCTGCCTCTTGTGTGTTGTAGGTACGTCACTGGGAATCCACTGACTTCTTGCGTCTCTGTGGCAGCTCTGCTTGTCTCATGAAATCTCTGCTTGAGCCAAGGATTGGGATTGGCAAAATATCACCCAGTCTACAAGGAATACCCTCTCGCTGAGACCAAGCTCGGCCACGCGCAGTGCCAAAGTTGGTGCAAACTAGAACTAGGTCCTCCAGTGGAGAGGCTAGAATAAGGGTACCCGATTTTTTTGCCGTAGTCTATTTTAGTAGGGGAACCCTGCCCCAAAAAAGGGGTAAAAGGGCACTACTGGGGACCTAGTCCATGAATCCGTGCCAAACAAGACGTCCAGCAAGGCCTTCCATCTCCCTCCGCCTCGCCCCTTTTTGTGTCATTAGCGCTCAGGTGTTTGTGCCTGCGATGCGGCTGAGAAAGCTTCCGCAAAGCAAAGGACCCCACAAAATGCCCCGCCAAAACTAGACCAAAGGATGCGTCTGCGCCAATTTCTACGGTGCGCCAACCTGAATTGAGGTACCCCTAAGCGACCTTCAGCATGGGTGAGCAAGCTTGCCTGCTGAGATAAGTGACAAATGTGTGTGACCTTCGCTACAGGCGCAGGCCCTTCGTGAAAGATCTCACAAGCAAACAAGGCAGGAGGCCAGGCGGGTCAAAACACGCAAAGCCCAAACAAAAGAGCTGTAGCACAGAGAAGCCATGCTTCAATCAAACAATGTCCTTGCTGAACCATTGCTCGCGCCTGAGGGTTGATCAGCTCCGCAATCAACGATCACGCAGTCTGTCAAGGGCCTGCACGGCCGGCCCGAAGGCTTGGCTTTGCGCGTGGCTTTCAGTTGGAAACGGAGTACGACGGGTTTCTGCTTGAACACAAACGGCCCCCCACCTGATTTCCCCCGTGACGGTGAAAGGGAAGCCGCGAGGGCATTGACCCAAGGTGTTTTTTTTGCAAAACAGAGCTGGCCATGGGGCATAACCTATGGCATTTTGGGGTGGATGAACATCCAGTTGCCAGCTGTGTTGATGTTCACCAGCACAGAGTGTTGAACCACAGCCAGTTGACCAAAGTCAAGCACCAACACTTGACAGCTGGCCAGCTGTGATTCTTTCTAAGTTGGTCTTCAGGTTTCCGGGAGCCTGATTCATGTCTTTGCCAGTGGTTTCCGGAAAGAGGTGACCTTGGTCTTCTGATTTAAAGCTTGCTGGAACGCAGCAGGGAATGAGGAAATGACCCCTATAAACCATCCGCTATGGCTTCCTTTAAGGGAATTCCCCAACACGCGGAAGGTCGTTCCCTACCTATCGCACCAGCAAAAAAGTCAGTTTCAACAAAACGAAAGGACTGGTTGCTACCAAATTCGTCTTCTGCAGATTGGCCCTAGTCTGTCGCTGCAATGCCGCAAGGCCGCAAGCCAGGTCTGTCCCGGGGTACCACTAGACTGTGTCTCAATTGCTTTCTGCTCCCCTGCTAAAAGTTTAACTTTTGGTAGTTTAACGGAAAACCCATTTGTTGGCAAAAAGTTGAAGTCCCAACATCCAAGCAAAATGCACCAAAGGTGTGTAACCCTCCCAAAAAAAAGTTGGTAAAAGGGAAAAGTTGGTGAGAAAGGGCACTACTGGGGGACCACTAGAATAAGGGTACCAACTTGTTTCTGTCTATTTTAGGGGAACCCTCCCCCCAAAAAAAGTTGGGCTAAGAACGGCACCTAGCCTCTATGGGGGAACCTCTGTGTGCTTGCAAATTCCACGCCTGCATTCCTCGTCCGTGTCCAGCTTCTCAAGCTCATCTAACCTCGCTTCGCTTGAGAAGCCAGCGAGCCGCAACCAAAAAAAGAAAAATCCCGGCGCCGGTCGCGGCGAAGCGGGGCAGAAGCCCACCACTCATCTAGGGGCTGTATGTTTGTTTTGTATATGGCTGTGGCTCAAAATTAAAGGGCCGGGGTCAAACCGCAGGTGTTGGTCCATGTTTCCACTTACCAGGGTTCCATTTTGGTGCCAGTTTTTTGAGCCACTGCCATATATGTTTTGTGTGTGTGGGGGGTGGCTTCTATAGTTTTTTAGGTGTTTGAGACAAGTCGGGGGTTAGAAGAAAAGAAAATCTCTAGGGGACACGTCCGTTTCCATTCTTTCCAGGGATCCGAATCTTTTCAGAAAACCATCAGATCCCCAGGGGAAACCGCGATCGGTTCTTGAAAAGAACGATGGTTGAAAAGAATTGTTGGAATCAACCCCTAGGACTAAAGCAACAGACATGTAAGACTCACAAAAAGCTTCAGTAGACTTCAAAAGATCGGTTGCAGTTTTGGGAGTCTTCCAGCCTGTAAGGCTGAAGCGACAAAACAGGAAGGCTTCAGTCACCGTAGGACTGATACCGAACGCTCCCTTTCCGTAGACTTCATTCTTGGCAAGAGCTGAATTCGCGGATGGGAAAGTGTTGGTTGAGACGCAGGAAAAAACCTCTGCCTCCTCATGATACACAACGGTAAGACGGGTGCCCTCGGGAAAAACAAAGATACTACAAATGCAAGCAATTAACAGAAAGATAAAGACCTTCGACAAACGGACAACACTCACCAAAACAAACCAAAGAACCCACAAACCAACAAAAATACAACTAAAGAATACAATGGACAACCAGAACAAAAAAACAAAAAACAACAAATACAACCAAAGAACCAGAAGCCAAAGAACCCAACAACCCAAAAGACAAAGCAAACCACACGTGGCCCGTGTTTCACTGTCAGCTGCCCTGCCATCTTGGGCTTGGACAAGTCCATGCCGCTGAAGATCTCCCCGAAGACCACGTGCTTCCTGCCCGGCTTCGGAAAGCCTTCTCCATTCGCGTAGCAAAAGGAACCACGTCGGTTCAAGCTTCCAATCCCTGTGGCTCCAAAATGAAAGCCACCCAAGTTGGTACTTAAAGAACATGATCAGCATCTGCGGTCCTAATTTTGAGATCCATGTTGGCAGGTTTAAGGTCTGCAAGGTCTCCTGCGCTTGCTTATTCCTCTCAACACCTCCATCCCTGGCTATCTGTGGCCTTCGCTCAAATCGCAACAACTCGCGGCTCTGTGGCTCCCATTTTGTCGCTCAGAGGTCTCTCGCGGTTTTCGGTCAGGTCGCACCGCGAGACTGCAGAAAATCGATGAAGTCCTGGCCACGGGAGTCGATCTCACCGACGCAAGGTGTGGCCTTTTAAGGAACGGATGCTTAGAACCAAACTCTCAAACAGTGCCATCGATTTTTCTTGCCTAAGGACGCACTATGGCAAAAGTGTGCACCTGGCTGCCGTGGACATGACCCGTTGACCTGACACGAAACTCTGTGCGGCCTCAAGTCATCCTGAGGAATCAAAGGCCAGTCATGAAACAAGTCCTGGTTCCCGCGATCCGTCGCAATCTGCAGAACGCTTCTTCCTAGCAGGGCTACAAGAGAAATCCACAACAATGAAATGGTCACAGCTCTGTTAGCGATGTGTCTTGCCCTGGCCATTGGCATCACACTTGATGACCGGCCCTGAACACCAAGCCAGCGCCATCTTGCAAAATCCGCACGGACATGACTCTGATAGGGCTGACATTCTCCAATAGATACTTCGAGGTTTGACAATGGCATGGCCATCGCCGTTGGCAAACATACACACTATGATTGGGCCGTTGTGTGTTGCGGCATGGGGACACTAGGCCTTCGTAGTCTCGAGCGTTCACATCAGCTCTCGCTTCCACCAATGCCTGCCGGGGTACAGTTTCCAGCCATGCGCTAAATGTCCGGCACTTTACCTAGGTCCTCCAGTAGAGAGGTTAGAATAAGGGTACCCTTTTTTATCTGTAGGGGAGCCCTCCCAAAAAAAAGGTGAAAGGGCGCTACTGGGAGACCTAATTACTTAACCAAGCTTGTGGAAACGACCTATCTCATCACTCGCTGAGCGCTAGGAAAATGATGGACTCCCAAACAACAAAAAACAACAACCTGTGAACATGTTGGCCAAAGGTTAGTTGACTCCGGCAATGATGCTCTCATCTGTCAATCAGAAGAGAAATTCGAGAACTCGTCAAGGACTTTCAGGTCGATGAGTTGCTGTTGAGCCCACAAGTCCAGTAAATCTT